GGTCACACACAGATACAGTTTCTTATTTTTTTCCTTTTCATTATTTATTTACTTATTAACATTATTAAACTTTTGCTGCCCGTCTGGTCACAAGGTTACTCAGGTGGGGGGGATACAATAGTAAAAACGATACAATACAACAGCATGTACACAGTACGAATAAAACACTCTAAATATACAAGTTATCAACTACAACTAAAAGTAGGATAAGTGAGGGGATGTAATTAATTATTTTTGTATAAATCTTGATACCTCGCATTGTCTCGGTACAATGTTTATAGAACATGATTAGAGATTATTTTCTACTATTAAATTAATTTAAAAGTAAAAAAAAAATCAACATTGCAATTCAGGAGGCCAATATTACAAGCACTGAATTATTATAATAAATTATATTATATTATATTAATATAAATTTAGAAAAAGACTTGCTGCAATTCATATCAAAATTTTAGTTGTATACTCGTTTGATCTTAAGCTATTGATCTGGTATCAAATTCTCTATTTTTAATGTGTGGATATGTATTTTTATATGTTGATAAAAGGGGAAAAAGCCAAACGTTGAGAGACTACAACTCCCATCACGCCCCGCGGGCAAGCAGCTGTTGCAGCCCCGCCCTGCTGTCAGGTGAGCGGCCGGCCCCGCCCCATGACGTCACCCGTCAGCCCCGCCCTCCTCCTCACCGGTTTCGTGACTCTTGCGGAGCAGCCAGGCGTCTGCCTTGTCCAACTCCGAAACGGGCGGGAGTGGCGCACCGCGCCCGGAGTTGGGCCTCCTCGGCCTCCGTAGCCACGGCCAGGCCTCTCCCCTTAGCAACCCGCCGGCTCTCCTGGCCCGCGCCGCGGCTCGGCCCCACCAACCGCCGCCGAACGCCATGGCAAGGAAGAGGCCCGGGAGCCGCTCTGGGGATCGGACACCTCGGTCTCCAGTTGCGTCAGGCGCGGCGGGCGGGTCTAGCGTTGATAGGCCGCTTGGGCTGTCACTCTGAGCCAGCGCCGCCTCTTTGCGGAGACGAAGGCGCCCTGCTCGAAAAGCCATTGGCTGAGGCTGCTGTTTGTTTAAAAAAGGGACGGAACTCGGCCTGCCCGTCATTTCCCAGCACCGCCTCCAGCCATTGCAGTGTTCGGGTGGAAATGCATTCTGGGAGATGTAGTTCTTCCTGGAATAGGCAAAAGGTGGAGCCAGCCTCTTTCAACTCCGACACGCGGGCTGCGTTCACACGTATCTCACTTCAAGGTGTTGCTTAAAAGTGGTTCAAGTGAATATTCAGGGCTTCCTGCCCAGAACTGCAAAAAGCGCCACCAATCCAATGAAAGTCATTCTCATTCTTCTGGATCTTCCCATGACAAATGGGATGTTTTCATTCATTGGGGGGCCTTAGTGTCCCCACTTTTTAAGGCGCCATCTGTATCTTCGTTCCCAGGATCCTGGATAAAGTATTAGCAGATTGTGTAGGTTGATTATGTGCGAGCAGTGAATTCAGAGACTAGTAACCAAAGCTTCAAGTCTTTTCAAGTCTCCTTCCTAATATTTAACTCAGTGTTTCTCAACCTTGGCAACTTGANCCCTTTGTCCTTAATGCTCGCAGGGACACAACCCTTTGGGTCCAACGTGAGCTGGAGAATGTGATTGATGACACAGTATTGCCGAAATGGTGTTCCTAATAAATGACTGGTTTTCTTTTGAAACTTGGCTCGAGGCTCAGGAATTAATTAGGTCATCTTTGGGGAAACCCGACTGGCCCAACTGGTCGATCAAAGCAATTCAGTGGGGAAGCAATGGGCCCGGGAGGAAAGACAGCAGAATCTCCCGGCTATCCCTGATCCGGGAGGAGCAGCTAAAGGACCGTTTGGGATAACAGGACCCACAAGTAGAGCAACTTTGATGGGGTAGGAAGTGGGGCACACAGGTCTTGCTCCTGATCTCCCTCTCCTGAATTCCATTTCTTTCTTTTACGGAATTTCTCTGTCACCCATTTCGCTATCGGATTCTGGGCGGCCCCCGAGATTAATGCTGTTAATCTCTTTACACCTAAAAAAGATAGGTGTAAAGAGATTAACAGCATTAAAACGGAGGTGAGCCACAAATAAATACATTAAACAAAACCAAAGGGCACGGATGGGACGGGGATGGGACTCTCGTCTCTCATTCCATCAACCACCAGCAGCTCCTTTTCAGTGCCCTGCAAATTTTCCAAATGATTTATTTCAGAGGGGAATTCCTCGAGTCTGTAGCTCATGCCACCTTCCTTCCTTCCCTTCCTTCCCTATTCTTCCTTCCTTCCCCTAACCCTCCCTTCATTCCTCTTTCCCTTCCCTTGTGTTTGTGTGTCTCCATTCTTCTCTGCCCTTATCGCTTGCTGTTGGTGTTTTAATCGCTTTCAAACACGGGCTGGAAGTTTTTAATTTCCATTGATCTGGTCTGCAAGCCCCCCAAGAGTCGTTCATCATCACTTCAGCGTGGAAGGGCAGAGGTGTTGCAAATGAAGTGGCCAAAATAAATAAATAGAATGGGCTCCCCCCGAGCATCAAATCCAGGTTTAATTCCCAGTTCTGTGACTTGCAAAACAAGCGGCTCTTCCGGTGCATTGTGGGCAGATACGATGCCGCCTGCCAAAGGGTGGTTCATTGCTAACAAAGGCGGAAGGGAGCAAGCAGGCTTCACAAACGTTATCCTTAATATTCTCTGCAAAAATCCTCAGCACCAACATTAAATATATAAATATATATAAATGTATACCGAGGAAACAAAAGCCATTCCTTGGCAGGAATCCATAAACTGGAGCCATACAAAGACAGCACAAGGCTGAGTGGCAGATTTACCCAGCCGGGCACGAAATGCCAGCTGCCAGGCTGCAGTTAATCCCTGCCCGGCTGCACAATGCACAAACAATGCTATTCTTCTGATCAGTGGCCCGTCTGGAGGGCCGCCGCTCAAAAAGAGAGGGGGGCAAAAAACACCTGGAAAATCATTCATGGAGCCTCTCCGACCTCCGAGGATGGCACCCGAAGGAGCCAGGATTGCTGGGAGGTGCCCGGGTGGCAAAACCAGGAAGAGGATCAATGCCATCTGTGGAGAACCTCCTCTGTGTGTGAGTGTGTGCGCGCCATGCGTTTGTAACCATCAGGATGATCAGGAGCGTACAATCTGGTGTTCAAAATCTGCTATGATGCAAACTCTGGGGCATTGCTCCCCTCTTGGCAAAGGATTCTGTCCAGGCATAAGGGGTTTTCTTGTCCTGGGCAGAGCCCCCCCCCCAAAAAAAAATGGGGGTTGCATTTTTAGGGTGCTTTGTAATGCTCGGATGAAACCCAGCATGCCTGCTGCAGTTTGGCTGCCATGACAGACAGCAAAGTGGCACAGGGATGGTCCTCAAAACGCAGCTAGTGCCCGATGCTGGCATCCAAGAAACCCCTTCAAATTTTGGGGTGGGTGGGAGTGGGGTGTCGGCTGCTTTTAAAAACCTTTGACACGAAGGGTTCAATAAAGTGTCCCTTTATTTAGCTGTTGTCACAGCAGCTTATGGAAACCAGAACCGGACAGTGGACGCCCATCTCCTAGAATCTCAGTATATATGAACGCAAAAGGGATCTTAGAGGTCATCTAGCCCTACCTCTGTTCAGGACCCCTGAAACTACCAGAGGAGATGGCTGAAGCTGGAGAGGGAAAGATGATAAATTCTGATGGGGCCACGAGTCTCATTCCTTCTGCCGTGGAGGGCTCTTCCTTAGGGACCAGGTGGTGGTGCTGGGGGCCTCCCTTAGGCGGGAGGGGGCCTTAGGTGCGGCAATTTACACCTCCCCCCCCATTCAAGCATATTCTGGGTCTGGGAGGCCTGTAGGCCCCATCATCCCCAGATGGCAGTGACCTTCTGGACCAAGACATCCAGAGGGTACCTGCAGCACACAGGTAGATTGGATGGACGGACAGACAGACAGACAGATAGATGATTGATATATGACTGATAGGTAGATGAGTGTGCATGTGTTTGTGTATAAACAAACACAAACATACATACACACATGTATGTATATGCATTTGTATGTGTGTATACATACATATTTGTGTATGTGCATGTGTGTGTGTGGATAGATAGATAGATCGTTCTCCCTCCCTCCCGGTATATAAATATAAATAAATAAATAAATATATAGAGAGGGAGGGAGGGAGGGAGGGAGGGGGAGAGAGAGAGATGGGTAAATAGAATGGATGACTGGATGGATGGATGGATGGATGGATGGATAGATAATAGAGTGGATGGATGGTACCTAGATGATATAGATAGATAGATGATAGATAGATAGATAGATGATAAATAGATAGATAAGAAATAAGATAGATAGATAGATAGATAGATGGATGGATGGATGGATAGATAGATGATAAATAGATAAGATAAATAAGATAGATAGATAGATGGATGGATNCAACTCCCAGAATTCCCCAGCCAGCGAATGCTGGCTGGGGAATTCTGGGAGTTGAAGTCCGGACATCTTCAAGTTGCCAAGGTTGAGAAACACTGGTTTAACTATATATCGAGCCAACTCGAAATTCCACCAGTTGGCAACTGGTCCATATTTATGACGGCTGCAGTGTCCTGGGGTCATGTGATCCCCTTTTACAACAAAGCCGACGGGGAAGCCTGATTCGTTTAACAACCATTTTACTAACTTAACCACAGCGGCAAGAAAGGCCGTAAAGTGAGGCGAAACCTATTTTTTAACAGTCTCCTTTAGCGACATAAATTTTAACGCGGAGGATTCTCTGTAAAACCTTTTATTTTATGGAAAGTGGAGAGTCCAATCAGACCTTTTAAATGAACATCACAAACTTGTCTCTGCTGCCTCCTATTTTCCCCACAACAACAATCCTGTGAGGTGGTTTGAAAAAGGGAGAGGGTGCCACTGGCTTTCATGCCTAAAGCAGGACTAGAACTCACCTCCTCTGGCTTCCAAGCCTTCCATACCCACAAAGAAAGGCCAGACGTGGGTGACAGGGTGCATTTTTAGCATGTGTCAATCTGTCTGGTGTCGGCTTTGACTTGCAAAGGATGCCTGATACGGTGAGATTCGCAGCCGCAGGACACGCCTAATTGTATTTCCACCTTGCATCATTAGGCATTTATAACTTACGTAGAATTTGCAACCAGATTAAAATGCTGTAAAAGTAAAGTCCATTTAATATTGGGTGGGGGAAAACAAGTTAATCCCAGGAACTTCTTTCAATTAATTTATTCTGGAGGAACATGTGGACACTTGAATTATTTTAGGATTCCTAAAGCCCTAGAGTGCAATTGGTTGTTTTATTATATCATAATGGTAACTCTGTTGTTGAAAACGCTGAAATCATCCACCTTAGTTTACAACAGAGGTCCCCAAACTTGGCAACTTTTTAAGACTTGTGGAAGTCCACAAGTCTTAAAAAGTTGCCAAATTTGGGGACCTCTGGTTTAGAATCTTTCTTTATAACAGAATGCAAGCCAAAACACAACCAGAATAAATACTGCATACAAATTAGCAGTTAAGTTTCGCTTTTTGTTCAAAAGCCTCAATTCCCAGGCTGAAACAATAACAATAGAATGCCATTAATGCCATTAACACAGGAGTGTTCAATATCGAACAAAAACAAAATCCATATAACAGTCATTAGTCTGTATTGTCACTTGCTGGTTGCAAAGGTTTAACCACAGTACTTCTCCTGTAGTGTTTTAAGGTGTGTGTGTGGGGGGGAAAGCCTCTTATGCTCAAAACTTATTTTCTGCTGTCTCCAAAATTCCAGGTGGAGGAAGGTAGACCCCAAACCTACCCAGGGCCGTTTCCACGACCATTGTGCACACCCCTGTTTTCCGTGTAGGAGGTTTACACCAGTCTGCAAGGGATTCCTGCAGGAGGGGTGGTGGGGGGCTCCTAGTACAACATCAGAGCTAGAATGCCAAGAGGAAGCCTGCCGGGGGGTCTCATGCAGAGGCTGTCCCCCTCCCACGAAAGAGGGATAGGGCGCAACGCCAAGCTGCGCAATCTTCTCCCGAAAACCTTCAGCGGAGAATGCCAGGTTCAAATGCCCACAAATAGGATCCTTCTTCGCGGACGTTTCTGCAGAGGGACCCTTCCCCGCCCTCTGCCAGCCTCCTAAGTCCGCCCCTCCGGGTTTTCTGCAGCCGGCGGGCATCGCTGCGCGGCAACCAAAAGCGAACCTCCGTTCAGGATTGCGCGTTCTCTTTCTCCTCCTTCTCCTCCTGCTTTGGCCTCCCCGGGGCGAAGAAGCCCATCCTGGTGGCGTGGCCTTCCCGGAGCTGCGCCAGCTGCCTCTGCCCGCGGCGCAGCAGATACTCGATCAGGAGCACGTCGGTGCGGGGGATGCGGGCAGCCCGGCGGAATTCGCTCTGCACCCGCGGCAGGAAGCCCGGCTTGCCTCGGCAGGCGCGCAAGAACTGCCGGTAGAGGCCGAGCACCTCGCGTTGCAGCCGGCTGTGCCTGGCCATCAAGCCGGAGCAGAAGGGCTCCGCCGCCTCCGGGAGCCTGGCCCTTCCAGCGGCTGCCCCAGAAGGAGCTGCCTCCTGCGCGGTCGGGACACAGAATCAACGCCGGGCCCTGAAATAGCCCCGCGCCGCCCCCTTCCCACGTGCAAACCAACCCGGGAGTGTCACGTGCTTCGATGCACGTGAAAAGGGTGCCGAGTTTCCTCCCTCCCGAGGCGTCCGAACGCCGGGTCGTGGGGAACAGACCCTCCAGGATCCCCCGGCCAAGATCTCTGTCTGTCCGCGTGGGGGGAAGGAGCCCAGGCTCCTGCAACGGAGACCCTTGAAGCCCTCCCCTCCCTCCCGCGACCCGCGTGTTCGGCTCACCGACTCCCCAGTGCGCGGCCGGTGCTGGCGGGAAACTGACCCCGCCCCACGAGGTCGGCTGGAACGTTGAGCCCTTCCCCTCGTCTCCGATTGGTTGGCTGCCCTGGGGGCGTGGCCAGGAAACCTGTCAGAGGGGGCGAGGTTTTTCCGGGACTAGTGGACTTCAACTCCTAGGATTCCCCTGCTAGGAAACCTGGCTGGGGGATTCTGGGAATTGGAGTCCACCTGTTTTAAAGCAGCCAAGGTTGCAAGATGCGGGTCCAGGGAACGTATTTGTGGGCCAGAGAGGGCATAAAATCCAGGGCAGGGGGAGGTCTTGGCTTGACTAGGTGCTGCCTTGGGGGGGGGGGGGGCAAGCAAGCCCCTTCCCCATAGAGGTCAGATGAAACCGATTCTTTGTAGGGTTGCTATCCGGGTAGAGATCAGGGTGAAATCCAGCAGGTTCTGGAGAACCAGCAGCGGAAATTTTGGGGTACTTTGGGGCAGTAGTCTCCAATCTTGGCAACTTTAAGACCTGTGGACTTCAACTCCCAGAGTTCCTCAGCCAGCAAAGCTGGCTGAGGAACTCT